TTTTGAATGAGTTGGATTGTTTGTTTGGTGGTGGTGATGATATGAGGAGGGGTGTTTTTGAGGTGCCACATCAGAAAAAGGGACTCAATTTTCAGCCACAAGTTTCTATGTGGCCTTGGGATCTTGCCTTTAACCTTTTCTTTTGATTCTTTTGTAGCAAAAAGTGGACTGAGTCAGCACTTTTTCTTCCTTTTTTTTTTCTTTTTTTATAATTCTTTTTTTTTTTAACAAATTATCGTCTCTACATTCTACCTGTTAGACGAGTCGATCCATTATATTACGTGTAAAAAATGAATCATATAGTATCAAATATTATACTTTAAGTCTATTTTTTAACAAAAATATATATATTTGTAAAAAAAAAAAAATATGCCAGACTTAATTTAATGGTTAGAACAAAAGTGACATACTTTTTTTTTTTCAATGATCATACCCATGGTATAAAAATTGACTTTTTAAGCATATGTGTGCATATTGTTCAAGTCACGTTTTTTCTTTTTTTTTTTCTCAAAACATTTATTTATGGTGTTTATAAAAAAAAATAAAAAATTAAAACTTAGTCAATTTCCTTTCAAAGTTGAAATTAATAAATTTTCAAATAGAAATACAATCATTATTATTGTGAAAGTAAAAAATTGTATACGTAAATAATAAAGAGCCATATTTTGTTCACACAATATGCATTGTTTTGTGATGAAGTTATACGTTATAAAACATAGTAAATAAATTTATAATATTTAATAGCATAAGTATATATTTTTTTTAACTAGTCAGACATGTGTAATGGTTAAGTTAACAATCTGTGTTAAGTAAAATTATTCTTAATATTATAATATTCTATAATTTTATTGGACACTCACAATTGTATAGTACATATCTTAAAGTGAAAGCATATGCTCATAATAATATTATTTTCTCATATTTATTTATTTAAAAGAATTGTACCATATCCAATTGCAAGTTTATAGTAGCACTTTATGAAAAGTGCCTCTACTTTCTTCTCATTCAATTTTATTTATTTCTTATTTGTGGATATCAAAGCAACTTTTGTTTGAATGGGTAGGGAAAAAATGGCCCATATCTAAGTGTTTAGGCCACCCCTATCCATTCAATCACTTAAAAAATGTTAATTATGCTCTTAATTAACCTCCACTTGACTTATGTACTATTTACAACTTTGTGATTAGAATTTAGTTATAAGTAATGTTTTAAAGAAGGTTAAGTGGGTTTTCACCTCCATGTTTTTGCTTAGTTGTAATTAAAACTTTGTACCCAACTTGTTTTTTTTTTTTTACCCTAGATTTGTATATTTCCTTCCCTTTAGGTTGTTGCCTATGGCTATGGGTTTCACTCAACTCGAACCGAGTCGAGTATTTCATGCTCGAGCTCGTACTTATTTAATAGATGAGTTTGTGCGACTCGCGGCTCGTCTCGTTCAGCAAATTTTCATAAGTGTAAATGAATTTTTCGCGAATATACAAAATTTTGTTTCACGAATTATGATGAGTAAAACAAATAACTCGTGACAAATTTGTGTTGGAAAAATTTGTTCACTTGGAGTTTGTAACAGAAAGGTTTTTCTTCAGGTGAAGCTAAGCTAATAGTTACAGAACAACCAAAACTTTTCGAGGCTAAAGCCTTTTGCCCTTTTTTTATTCTCTTATAAAATATGGCATCAAATGTCACATAGTATTTGTTTTGTGGTCATCCTAGTGACACGTGTCATTGCATTTAAGGCACTGTTTTATTCAAGAAAATTTCACACAATTTAACAATAAGTAGAAAGTTTCACACAATTTAACAAGTAGTAGCTAGTTTTTTGTGTTAGGCTGGCATATTTGTTTTACAAGTACATAATTTCATTCAAAACTATCATGCTTTACAAAATTAATAAAGTATGCATTTCTGATGGGTGTTGTTTTGTCTGCTAATGTTGTACCCAATTCAAATGGCAATCACTATTTATTTCTGATGTTATTGCTGAAATTAGGCCTCGGTATTTACTCAACTTTCTATGCTATATATGTGTGTTCCATTCCGTATCTTCTTATGCGTTCCGCTTTTCGAATTTCTGATGTTTGCTAGTCAATTCAGTTTAGTTTTGACAATAATCGTCGTGCCACATATCTCGAATTCTTCTATTCAAGAATGGCGAATTTGCTTGT